CTTTTGCTACGGGAAACAGCCGTGCCCTTTATCAACTGATACGATCGACTGGCTCTAGGAAAGCAACGGTCAGCGAAACGATAAGTGAAAAAGACAGCTCATTAATTCACTCGCAACAACGTCGGGCGAAAAGCTCCGGGGCATGTCTCACAAAAACTGTGCAACTGTCTGCCTTTTGTCCGCCCCGAACACTAGTTGAAGAAAGAACAGTTCACAAAGTGGCTGCGCGAAATGAAGGCGGCCACAGGTAAAATGAGCGCCGATAAATTATTACGCCCTGTTTGGTGGTTAAAGTCTCCACAGGACGTCTTCTAGAGTGTCATTTTCCAGCCTTACAGCCTGGCCAGTGTCTTTTTGTCTTCATTCGCTTGCTTCCGTCAGCAGGTTTCGCAAACGATTGAGGCCTAGTTCCCTCAAGGGTGCTTTACTCCAATATGATACTAACATATGTTTAGTTGACTGCCATTTGTAGGTGTAGGTACCTGGTTCTCAACCGTTTTCCACGCGGACGAAAGTTCGCCCATCACAAACGTTACAAGCGAGGGATTCAGCTGAGTTCCAAAACCAAATTTATTTGCAAATGAGTGTACTTCGCTTATTTCGTGCAATTTGGGTTCAAGTAAAACATAAGGTTGACGGAAACTCGGAGGCTGCGCCTATCTGATGAGCCCCAAGAAGCGCGAAACCGATCGTGGGCTGTCGAATCCCTATGAGTCATGTGTTACGTTTACAGGTTACTTATGGTTACTTATACTCTTCCATTTTCTTTCCACTAGGGTATTCACTCACATAGGTGTATAGCGCTCAGGTATCAGTTACCACGACTACTGTGTCCTCGTTGATGATACTAATAGTTAGCATCATCATGACATATCGTACGCCCTACAATCAGTTCCCATTCGTATGCGTACAGGGCAGGAAGAGAAGCAAGTGAGGTCCAGTCATGTTGAAGTATAGTTCTTCTGTTTTCCTTGGAACAAGTTAACAAGTTTATGCCATAACTGCTGAGCCATCTTGAACTATATGACTAAGACTAACGATCCTATCCACAGGTTTCCCACCGATCTAACCAGATATTCTCATTCAGCTGTAGTGCCCCTTCGGTGCCAAGCTTCCATACCACCAGAAGGAGGCACGAAGCCTGGGATACTGCCAGGTCACCCAAGCCGAAATAGGGGAAGTCGAGAGGCAGGGGTCGGGTTCGAACCACGGACCTTCCAGTCGGTAAATGTGCAATCTAACCACTGAACCATCTCGCCCCTAACCAGCCATACCCTACTTACCAAAAAGTGCACGTAAGTTATTCAAAAAAAAAACAAGTGCGTACAGCCAGTGGACTTTGTAACTTGCCATTCGTTCACTTTAGCTGATTACTTCTCTGACCTTGTTCGACCCTTTGGTTTCAAACTGGAGCCTTTGTTGACCCAGGTTGCAGTGTCTTTTCTCGTCGTTGTTTAAAAGCAATTTGTCAGGTGCTCATCCAACAATTAGGAGAGCAAAATCCAGTCACCAGTGCTACCATGCAAGCGTTCGAATCGCTGCAGTTGAAGTAACAGAAGACGCATTGACAACACTGTTACCATGCAAGCGTTCGAACCGCTGCAGTTGAAGTGAAATGAAGTAACAGAAGACGCATTGACAACACTGAAACTTTGGAAGCTAACATCTAGGGTGACAGACACTCAAGCCCTATCGAAATAGTTCAGTGTCCTTGCATCAGACAATAACTTCGTGCCACCGAGTATGGGTCTCACGATTCAGCTGAATTACAGACCCGTTACAGACATGCTGTGAAAAGGATAGGCGTGTTTCATAATCCCGTAAAAAGCACGACATGTCAATGGTAGGAAGGCTGAGAGAGTTTTACACCAATATAGCAGTGTGATCCGACTCACTTGTGAGCACAAATCGGCTCCCGTACTGGCCTTTGTTTTCAGCCTCTCCGTGCAACTCGCAGTGGGGAAACCAAATCAGCCGGCTGAAATTGAGCGACTGCCCAATGTACGCACGCACGCTCGCACGCGCGCACGCATGCGTGTGGATTCGATCGACCGTGAGAGCAGCCTCAACGGGACATCGATTGGCGCACCAATGAACTCACGCACATGGTGTCTGGTGTGTGTGTGTGTGCGTGTATGTGTGGAAAACCGCATAAGGCCATAGGTCTGTGGGTTTGCCGTAAAGATCGAACTGGAAAAAAACAGGACAGGTAATCAGGCCAGAACAAACATGTGTCGGTTGAGGTGGCTTGAGTGATCCAGGGTCCAGTCAGGTTTTGGTTTCCGACTCAGTGAGGGACAGGAACGTGATCCTTTAGAAATTCGGCAGATTTTGCGTCTGATTGGAGTTTTCGGAACCATCTGCAAAGCATGCACTGAATGTCCCGAGAATCAGCAAAACACCATCGTGGGTGGACCCAGTTTCCAATTCATTGTACCATTTAACAGGACTATTGAACTTAACGTTCAACTTACACTGGTGAACGTAGAAGCGGGCAACTGAAGTATGACAATTCCTCTTTTTCACTCAACAGTCTGAAGCACGGGAATAGCCTAACGGCGGCCATTCCATGACCTGGCAACGAAGTGTGAAACCACCGACAAACACATTCAATCATGTGGGTAACTTTCAAGTTCTAGAATCGCTACCTTGAAATAAGACACTATAATTGGAAATATGGCCAAATCACGCACGTGCAATAAAGTCATGCCACTCAGTATGTAGCAAGAAATTCGTGACGATGAATTCGTTAGGCCATAGTCTTCAGTGCCTCGCTGTCTTGTCACACCGTCTAACCTCGGCGAAAGAAACCACTGCGAACAGAATCAGGACCGTTCGGGATGACATGTGAACTAGTTGGACAAAGCAGTTGGCCTTGCAGTGATTTCTTCCACAGTGTAAACTCTGCCTGGAGGAACGGGTTCCTCTGATTGCGATGTCCTCACCCTAAAGCCTCTATCAGGGAGACAGAGTTAGGTGAGTAGTGATTGGCTTGTGTCTTCCAGAGTATGTAAACCAGATCAGAATACTATACCCGGGCAGGTATGACT